AGTCCAAGTTGAAACACACAGTGGGCCAAGTATCCATAGCCCTTTGCCCATAAAAGCTTTCCACCCCGTAAGAACCCGCACAACTTTCTTTTGCCTCAAACAACGCAAAGCCCCCATGCCTGAAGATATTGCCAAATTCTTGAAGGAAGAACTCCACAGAACCACTGACGTATCGAAGGTTGTTGAAAATGTTCGGTCGTTTCTCCAAGGTGTCTAACTCGTCTTGCTAGTTTGTTGATTGCATCTGGGAAGTGCTTTCCGGTGATAGTCGTTGCCGGAGGGAGCTGATTCGCAAAATCGAGTCCACACCCAACGTTGCTATTCCTTTGAGTCCCGTAGCCACACCTGCTTCCATTGCTGAAGATGATCCCGACATACGAGACGTAACGGTCGACCCAGTCACTCCAGCACCAAACACCGACCAGCTCATTGCGCGATCGTGGTCGAGTGCTCGTGGATACAACGAAGCGGCCGCCGACACGGAAGCCGAGAATATAGTCCAGCGTAAGCGGTGCCTCTCGAAAGATGATATAAAGGACAGCCGTACCGTAAAGAAGCGTTCACCGCCCCTGCCGCCCACGGCAACTGCCAGCAAGCCAAGGCAGATATCGACGCAAGCGTCCACTGTCGAGACTAGTCGCAGATTCCGAGGTCCTGGCCGGAAACAGAAACCTTCGGCGCCTGATTTTAACGACGAACGATTTAATAATATTCTCGAGCAACTCCGAAGAGAGATTGCGGAGTATACTTTAGCTAATGGTCTCCAGGATGCTTGGAGAGTGGTGGACGCCCTCCGCTGGCCAAACCCGGAGGCTGTAAAACTTGACGAGTCAATCTCAAGGATTCGGCATCTGCAGTGTCAGATACAGCGCTGTGATATACCGGACGCAAAAGATAACAGCTTGCCAACTCTGTTGACGATCCAGCAACGATTCTATATGGTCCAGTTGATGGCCGAATACCAGAAGGCACTAGAAGAAAAACACAAGGGAGACAAATTTGGCGCTCTTAAATGGTTTCAGAGGGAAGTTTACCCCGACCAGAACTCGAAACAACGGCAGAAAAGCTGGGACTACTTCCGTCGGACCGCAGAACCCCTCTTTGAAGCGGTGCGACGGTATGGTTACGGCGTTCTTATTTTCCCACTTCGTAACGTGACGATGAAAAGGTATGTGCGTCGAAAATACGTCAGAGATATGGCTAACAACGACCTAGTTTGCACTGTCTTCGGCGTGAGTCCATCAGTGACGTCCTTGACTATATTCAAGTGTGTCATCCAAAGGTAGAGACTGTACTGAACAATGTATCTGGCCTCTTCGCAGGGCTACTTACATGGGGCTTGCCACCTATGCGTCTGCCAATCTCGGTCGTAGCATACGAAGATATCATGAACAGTCATGATAGTCATTGTACTAACCTCTTCATGCAACCCGTAATCACGAACATGGATCCACCTGTCGTTCTCGGAGAAATTCCACCATGGCCGTATATGCCTGTGGAAGACGCTCTGGTGGCTGTGGCGCATCTGCAAAATGATAGCGACC